TGGACCTGGACTGAAAATCGCCATCGGTACGTGTGGAGTTCGAGCTCGATGACGAAATCTCCGTCGATCTATGCTCGCCAATGACGTGGTTTCGTTCGATCGAGCTCATGTCGGGGCGGCCCAGCCTCATCAGCTGGGGTTTTGGGCGCGACTCTGGGGCTTTGTTGTCTGTGGTAATGACTTCATTTCGGTGCCTCGCGTTGTCGTCATCTCGCATTTGTTATTGGCTTTGAATGAACTCTGTCTGCATTGTTATGGCCACATACACACACACACACACACATACATCCATTTGATGTATGGCTCATGAAAATTTGTCGGTTACTTTGATAGATTGTTATGATTTTTTCTCGAATTTCGTGGTGGCTGTTGTTTTTCTTAGGGGTGTTGCCTTGTTATTTTTACATTTACATTTTCGTTTTCGTTTTTATTTTACAATGTTTTCATTTTGTTAATTATCGACTTTAATTGTTAATTTAAATCACGAAACGGCCGAAATGAGATTAACAATAGCGAAAAGTGAAACTCGACTTCAGCTCGTGCCAACTCCACCCCCTCCTCTTGATAATCTGTCCACATCGCCGGCCCGTCTCCTGATCTTGAAATGCTCTTATGAGTTGTGGGCGTGTTTGCCAAACAGTGTCAAGTCAAGCCAAGCCAAGCCAAGTCAAGGAGAAAGGCTTTCTCGAGCTTAGATTGGATTGGCATTCGATTTGTTTTCATTTGCCAAAACTCAAATTGAATTGTTTTCATAAATTGCTTTGCCGTTTGAGTTGATCCAAGTGGATGACAGAGATGAAATGTGTTGAGTTCACAATAGCAAACAGGGTTGTCAGGTGTGTGAAGGCCTAATAGCTCGGAAGTTAATTAGATAGATAGAAAATAAAGTCAATAGCTAGGAATATGAACAGAGTTTCTATTTTACGCTGGTTTCTTCAGTAAGCTATCGATAATAGTTAGGGGTTGCCACTTCTAGACACTAAAAAAATTCCCAAAATGTCTTTGCCATGTATTAAATTCAAGCTGTAAGGCACTAAATATCCATTTCAAAATATTTACTTGAGAAACTTTATTATTCAATGCCTAATTGAGCAGGCAGACTCCATTATTATTTATATGAGCTGCAAAGGCAATCGCAGCAAAGAGAGGAAAAGGAAACATTTAATGGAAAGTTGATTTTAAGGTTCATTTGCTGGGCCAAACGAAAGTCCAACGAAATCAACAGATTTTTATAGCTAATTCGGCAATGTTTTATTGGTCAGCTGGCGCATATGCTGGACCGCAGGCAGCTCCACTGGGCAGCGGCTACTTGATTGCCGCCGCTCTAACTTATTGGGCGAAAGGTTTAGTTCCAGCAATTGTTATGCAAATCGAGTGCTGAGATTGCGGAGGACATCGACGACGACGGCGACGACGGCGACGACGGCAACGGCAACGAGAGCAACAATGGTCAGTGGGTAGAATTGGACAAACAACTGGCGAAAAAACAGATCCAAATCGAATTGGCGGCGACTTTAAATTATGGCCGCCATAAAGCCCGAACTAGCGACAAACTCGGGCACTTCCTGGGCGCCCCAAAACTGGAATCCGGCAATGCACAACCCGCATAATCAATTGTCATTGTCATTAGGTTACAGCGTTTTGGCTATGGCTTGCATTGGCTGCGCTTTGGCAAGGCTTTGGCTTGGCCAATACCGGCGAGCCACCTTCACTTTTCTTGTGGAGACTGGCAGAAAAACGCAAAGCTATGCAGTGCCTCATACCCTGTAAGCAAAAGGGTTTACCAAGAAGCATGGCTGGAACTATTAAAACTCTATATGTCTTAAGATTATATATAGATTGAAATCGTATATATAAGTATAAGAGGATATCTCCTAGTCTAACAGATCTTCTGTGAGCTATTAGACAGTCAACTCACTTATGAAACACTAAGTGCAGTATATATTCGGTATTTTATAGTCTATCAAACTCTACGAGGTGCTTTTGGTAGGGTATCTATTTTGTCCTAAAAACTATCTTTGGCTGCGAAGTTGACGTTAATAATCAAGGAGTATCTCTTAGTCTGGCATTTGCTATGCATTTTGCTTATAAATTTAATGAGTTTCTTTTGTATACAAGCTAAAGCAGCTTGAACACTTAAGTAGTTTAAGACATATCCAAGTAAATTACAGGGTATTTTATAGTTCAGTTAGTATTTCTTACTGATTTTTTGAGTATTTATGCACATTTTAGAAAAGTTTGCATAAATACACAGATTATAATAGTTTCTCTAAATTATTCCTAGGGTATCTGCCAGCCAGGCAGCTCACTCACCCACAGTCCACTTTGGGCCATTGCGCATTTGGCCATTTTTGGAGCTGGGCCTTAACAGAGACATCCTTGTTAAGCTGACACGCGCAACATGCGCTCGTTGCAACACGCTCGTTGCAACCAGAACGCACCGTGGCAAAGATTTCAATTAATATTTGGAAAGTTCGCATTTGGCAGTCTCAGTTTTACCCAGGGGGCAGGCAACCCAAGCCTGGGCCCCAAGACCCCCACTCGAGTGCGTTGGGGGCTTGTTATGGGCGCAGAGGAGCAGCAGCTGGCCCGCATCCTACAAGCTAGCCATGGATTCATATTTGAGATATAATCAGCCGCTGGCTGACAAATATGCATACCCTGCTTGAGCAGACAGATAGACAGGGTATGTCGACAGAGATAATTTTCTTTATGAATTTCCCCCTTTTTATATCCTCTCTAGCTATGGCTTTTTATATAGTAATCTGAACAGAGATTATGATTACAGAGTATCTATTAGTCTATCACTCCACTCATGTACTCTTATGCCTTTCCATTCGCCAATGGCTGCAGTAAGTGGAGTCTAAAGCGAATGCATCCTCCGTATTGACAACTGCTCCAGCTGCAGGTGTGGATGGGGGCAGCTGGGGAAGTGGGGTCTACAGGGGTAGGTGTTGAGGAGCCAGGGAGAGGGAGCTGCTGCCGCTGCCGCTGCGTGCCGCCTGCCAGACAACAACAATCGACAGAGACAAACGCCTAACAACTTATTGGAAATATGTTTAACCATTTTCGGGCAATTGACATTTCGGCTGCCGGCTCGAGAGTTCCTCTCTATCTGCTCCCCACCCTAACAGGCTCCACCCCCGACACCGCCCCTCCATCCTGCCTTCCTCTAGTTGCCAATCGACGACGTGACAAAACAATTGTCGTAAATCAGTGGGCCAAAACGGAGGCGATGCATCGAAGCTGCAAGCTGATTGCAATTTTCGATTTTGTTTTTGCTTTTTGTTTCCTTTGCGAATGCAACAAACATATTTTGTCTAACAGTTCGCATTGTTATTGTTTGCTGTTTGCTTGTTGTTTGTCTGTTTGTTGTTTCTTTTGGCTGTTTACTTTCATTTGGCTCGTGGCTGCGAATGCCAACAGCTGCGGGTGGGAACTGCAACCCACATGCATCATTTTAGCTGGACAAAGGGGATCAGATCGAGACCTGCTGAATTCCACCTAAATGCAATGCTCAATTAGCGAGAAAATGTGAAATAAACAAGAGCGAATAAAAGCCATTGTTATGCAACGCGCTGATATACATAATAGAAAAAGCAAAGCAAATATTTGAGAAATTTTCTAGGAAAGAGATTTGAGCAATCGAGAGATTGACTAAGTGAAGGTTAAATGTGGTAAAATTGTGGATTACCGTTCAGGCAGACAGGTGGAAATGTAGGAAACACAATTGGGATTGAGATTCTCTAGAAGAATGTATTCTTTTCTAATTTGTTTCTGTTTTTTAGCAACAAAATGCAAAATATTCTTGTATAACGCACCAACTGTCTCCCTCTCTCACACTCTCTCTCTCTCACTCAGTCAGCTATCACATTATCCAGACAGCTGTCTGAAGCTGTCATGGTCATGTTCAATCAGCACCGAAAATGCTGCACAGCCAAGCCAAACCAAGCCAAGCCAAGCCAAGCCAAGTCAAGTCAAGTCAAGCCAAGCCCCCAAGGCTAAGCAGCAATTGCAGCTCTTCCGTCTTAGATTTGTGTGCGAGGCTGCCCCCTCACCCCACCGGAGACTAAATAACTCACATAGTTTTTCACAGGCTTCGCTCATTGCATAATTTACATCTACTATATATATTTTACATACAAATACAAACATATATATGTATGTATATATGTATATTTAGATAGATAATAATCCCCCTACCAAAAAGACATTAAACAAAACTTGGGAAGGTGTTGCAATTACACTGACGTCCGCTTCTGCAGTCTGAGCTCAAGCTTTGGGCTCAATCAGACACAGACAATAGCAGCAGCAGCAGCAGCCACAACAATTGTAAGTTTTTTTTTATATTTTCTTACAAGCAATTTTCACTTTTTAGTACAATAAATGAAAATGAAAACAAGCCAACATTGTCTAAGGTTTACATTTTGAGAGGAAGTCGTTGCAGTGTGGAGGACGGGGATCTCAATCATTGCCTCAGTTACACAATCTGGCCGAGACTCAATAGCCAAGTAGCTGCCGCATGTGGCACAAAGTCAAAGTCATTGCAAATGAAAAGCAAAATGAAATGCGTGTAATTTTTCTATTCACTTCGTTACACTTTTACCTACGATTAGTATCGTGGCGTTTTTCGGACTTGTTTTTTGTCTTGTTATCAAATTTATAATCTCTCTCTCTCGCGCTCTCGCTCTCTCTCTCTCTCTCTCTTACTCGCTTTGAAGGTTTTCCTCTGGGCTTTGAAAGTTTAATTTATTGGTCTTTATATTATAAACAGCAGCATTTTATGAGAAAATTGCCCGAAAAATTCAAACGGGCCCAATTACCATAGCTTACACAACAAAATTTTTTTATTTAAAAACTCAATTAATAATTAAAATTAATTATTTCCAGCAATTTCTACGACTCAACTCTTGGCAACATGCCGCTTATAAACGCATGTTGCAGCAACATTTGCGCCTGGGCTTAGGCAACATGTTTGGAGTATAGAAAACTGAACTTACCGAGTGTACTGCTAGATGGCGCTGCAACTCCGAATTACAATACAACGTCAATTCCGATATGGTTGGCGCATTTTCCAATTTATTCTCCATGTCGCGCAGCCAGCGACGCAATTCCTTGGGATCCTCGCACAAGCCCTCCGGCCGCTGTGTTTCATCCAAAATCTATAAACAATAAGAATTTATTAAATCAACGAAAAGCTAATTTAATTTAGCTGATTTTTAGTACAATTAGGTGTGAAACTTTGCTAAGCAGTGAACTGCTCAAGTTCATTTTAGTACTTATAAAAATTGCAGCTACTCAACGCTAGCTGGCGTTTGCTCTCTACTCACATGCAATTGGCTGCCCGTAAATTTAGACTCGCGTGACGTTGGCTGCGCCTCCTCAATCTCAAACCTTGCCTCTTTGCACGTATCGAGCAGGTTTGTGTCCATAATATAGTTATAGTTCGTTTGTATGGCCGCCCAGAGGTCGTCTTTGCCCGACGAGCCGAGTCCCAAGGTGGCGCTGCTGTGCAGACTGGTCGAGCTGCTGTGGCTGTGGCCGCTGCCCCACGAATAACGGTGCATTTTGTTGCTATTGTTGCCGCCGGAGCACTTGCTGCTGCTGCTCTGTGAGTTTTTCTGCAACGAGAGAGAAAAAGACGGATTCAGTGTGCTTGTTAATAAATGAGTAATTTGAGCTGCCAAATATAGACGCGATAATATGCTTAGCCATTTTCGGAGCCAACTTCTTCGGCCTGCCTCCCTCGCCAACGTCTGCTTGACAATGCTCCACATTGCAATGCGCGCGCAATTAATTGATGAATTTTTATTTGTGCGCGCAACAATCAGGGGAAAATTTCTCATTTACACAGCTTCGCCGCCGGCTTACACACAAATCGAAATGAAATGGAATTTCAAACGTAATTTGATTGAATGACGCGAAATTAATTGCATTGAATAATCGACAACTGCAGCAGCAGCACAATCTTCTTCTCTTCGACTCACCGATTCATCGACTCTTCGACTCATCGACTCACTCACTGAATGATTCGCTAGCCAACCAAACATCTGTAATCCGCTTTCCGCTTCGCTCAAGAATGCGAGCCAAATCGATAAATCATACAATTGCCAAATGGCACAATCGATGTTCGATTAATATGCAAGACATGCGAATATGGAACGTGCGACTTTTGGGAGCTGAGCAAAGTAGTTGAGTGAGCCATAGAGATGCTCGTAAAACAATGAATTCGAATATATTTTGATTTATCACATAATTATAGTTTAGTTTACTGTTCAGTTAGTAATTTTGATCTCATACTCCTAAATTCAATATATAATTTATCATCTTTTAAATTAACAATTTTGTCAAAACCTAATCTAAAACTAAATTTGTAATAGAGATTCTGACTATTAAAACTTAATTTTAGCATCGCTCAAACTTCTTTATTTATGCAAACTGTCGAAACTTGTTCAAATTCTCCATTAAAATTAATGCCACCTCTCTCTTTCACTCTCTCCCTCTCACTCGATGCCTATTTCACGCTTCTATTGTATAACAAAATTCGTACATTTTAATTCCCTTCATTCCACTCAAACTACTCTGCTTAAGTGGAATGTTTTGGCATATTAAAAAACATGCATATATAGCCATTTATGAACCGTTATATATACGCCTCTCTATACCTCTCCCTCCCCCTCTCCATCTACATCTCTCTCTAACACATTTCGCTCGCATGCTAATATCGAAATTAAAATTGATTAATAATTTATTAAAAGCAATTTCCGTTGACGCTGGCGACAAGAACGAGCTCAAGAATTCATATTCTAACGGCAACATGTCATTCAAGCCATGCCATGACCAGCTCCTGCCCCCTCTCAGTCTAACCCACCTGATCCACCTGCACAGTCTGCGCGAACCAGCTCAACTAGTTGGCTTCCACACGCCAACCACAGCATATGAAGAGAGGGGGGATAGAGAGAGAGAGGGGTAGGCGCCATGCACAGAAATATTTAACTCTCAATTGCAAATTTATGCACGCAGCATAAACGAGTCACTCAGAGTCTCCCACCTGGCAACACCTGGTCCCCACTTACCTTGAGGCTGTTGTAGGGCCGCTCCAGATGCAGCTTGGCTTGGATGACATCACGTCGCTCCTGCTGCAGCTCGTCCGCTGGCAGCGAGGTCATCGATTGTGATGTTTTCATATCATTGACGGCGGCACCACCGATCACACCCACGTCTGCACCACCCGCACCACCACCACCTGCACCACATCCAATCACATCCAGCATGTTGAGCTTTTGCTTTTGTTTTCTTAGCGAGCTGCTGCGGCTGCTGCTCGCTGATTTCGTTGCGGGTTTGGTGGTGCGTGGATTGGTGGCGCCCACTGCTGGCATGACAAATGCAACCACATCCTCCAATCTCAATGTGGTTGTTGCTGTCGTTGCTGTTGTTGTTGTTGTTGTATTAGTTATGTCAGTGCTTCCGTTGCTGCACTTCATTGTGATGGCCGCTTTATCAGTCTCTTGGTTGCTAAATGACGTCTCCTCTGTGGCCACGCCCATGTCCGTTGCCACCGCCACCGTCACCGCCTCTGCTTCAATCTCCATCTCATCCATCTCGTCTGCTCGATTTCGCGTTGCTGTGGCAGCTTCCATAGTGTGGCGCTAATTGTTTTTGGTTCCGATTTCCATGTGTTTGTTAATTTAATTAATTTGCTTAAAATCTGCTTTAAATCGTGTTTCGTTGTTGTTAGTGCTGTTGTTGTTGCTTTTGTTTGTTACTGGACTTCAAAATGCATAAATTTGCATGTCTGCCACGGCTGGGCGTTCCGTTCGTTTCATGCCATGCGTTCCGCTGTGCTGCTTCGACCTTTACGTTGTTTTATCGGTTTTCGACTCAGTTCCAGTTCCTGGCGGGATTTTAAATCCGATTTCCCGTTCGTTTGCTTTTTATGCAAAACTGTTTTCGTTATTTTCTTGATAAAAAGAAAAAAATCACAATTTAATCGTGAATTTCACTGCAATTAAAAGAGAGAGAGAGAGAAAAAATGAAACAAAAGCGTTTAACGCGAATTAGTCCAAAGCACTTCGAATCGCATCAATTATGCTAAATACAAGTTTCAAATGAATATATGTGTATATATGTATATAGAGTTGACCATAAATAAACTAACTGATGAAGCCGCTATGCCTGAAGAGGAAGTAGGAGATCAGTGAGCAAGCGAAGCAACAAAATCAGCGATATTTGAATTTATGAGAAGCGCGTAGAAGAGCGGTATATAGAGAAAAAGAGAGGAGAATTACAGAAATAAGGAGAGTGATAATGAGAGGGTGCGAGATAGGTAGATGAGTAGTAGTAGTAAAGATCAATGGAACTGGAGCGAGAAAAACAGAAAAAGACAGAGATAGTGAGAGAGAACTATGAAGAATGGGACATGAATTATATACTCGAAGTCATTCCCATATATTCCAGTTCTTTTAATGCTCAATTGTGCCACACTCTAAGAAACTAAATGGGATTATGAAACATTTGCGACTATAAGAAATCGCGTCTCTTGCAGCTCTTAGAGATATTCTCGCAGCGATATTCACACACGTAATCAAATATTTAAATTCGTGCATCAGATTGCAACAGTGCACCAATCTTAAGTGGCTGCACAAATTAGCAATTGCCAAGAGACTGCGATATCTGCTTAATCGGCAGACAAAGGAACCGACGATTGCCAGAGCTGTTGGCCATATATACGATATACGTCATATCTGAACTTATGGCTCACATGACACCCACGCAACAGTGCTAACTGTAAACAGCAATTAAAGCCAACTCCGACTGACAACTACATAATTACAGTGGAAGGCCAACGACTCGAACGCCCAAAAAGAGAAGCAGAAATATTACTTCATTCCGAAAGAAACAAACAAACGCTCGCTCAGCTGACCAAAGGGGGCGATGGGGGCGTGGACGGGGGTGGTCCGTTTGTCTGTCTCTCTGTCTGTCGGCCAAAACAATGAACACGATTCTAATCGGGAGCAATCAAATTTTCATACGAAATTAGTCGCGAAAACACTTGTGGGCCATATTCGTATGCAAATCAAGCCAAAGCACGTTTAGGCCAACTCCGACTCGCTCCAAAATTGGCTGCAAGCGTTTATTTAGCCACTTAAGATACCACGAAACAGCAGCCAGTTATAAAAGTTAAAAAAAAAAAAAAAAGCGGCAGCAACTGCTAAAAACAACAAACAGGAACAACAATTACGCATATGTAGGAAGTGCAATACGGAGTGGACGTATGAGATACCCTGTAAGTTGGAAAAAGAAGTACGGGAGAGAGAGACAGGAAAGGAAAGACAGCTACATATAAAGAAAGAGAGCGAAAGAAATGAGAGAGATGTGTAAATGAAGAGGGAGAGAGATGGCTAAAGCTAAAGAAAGAGAGATTTTTATTTTAGAGACTCATGGAGAGATAAAACGAAGATCAATTGACTGTAGAAGAGCATCCAGAAATATCCGACATACAACTGGATCAATGCTTGAACAAAGTTTACAGCCCCAGATATACCCTGTAGAGGAGGCAAAGGGGCTTCCCACTGAAAACAATCGCAGTGATCCACAGACACACACACATGCACACCCCATAAGGGGGCGGGAGGCGTAAAGTTGTCGGCAACTGTCTGGCCAGCGAGTTGAGTGGGTGGCTGCTGTTGCTGGAGGTGGTGGGGCTGAAGGGGCGTGCCGCGACACACAAATCGACGTTAAAAGCAGTAAATAACGTTTGCCAGCCATTATAATTGTTGAGAGCCACAAAAGAAAAAGAAACACAGGAGTTTTGCCCGCGGCTCAAGTCGAGACCGCGGGGCCAATTTAAAAAGGCCTCGACTTGCACTTTTCGCAGTTAGTTTTTGATTTTGGCTTTTTTTTTTAATTTTTATTTTGGCGGTTCTTGTGGTTTGTTCGTGAAAGCGAAACTTTAACTTACGGCCAAAAGCGGCCTACACATTGCCAGTGCAGTGGGCAAATGAATTGGCCAAGGCAATGGCCAACGTCGTCGAGCGAATCATATAAATAGATAAACACATGCACATACATATACATAAATACGTGTATTTATATATGTATACATACATATACTTATTTATGGCTTTGAGCCATGCGCTGCTCGGCACTTCTTAGCCAGGCTTTTAGGCTTCAACTTTACTTTTAACAGCTCGCCAAACACTTTGGCTTAGTCACTCGCAAAATAGTCAAGAGTGAGTACCCCTACCCCCAGTCTTCCTGTCTCTCTCCCTCTCTCCATAGCTCTCTTTCTCTCCCTCTCTAGTCATGCAAATTTTGCTATTTGCATTGCAAAGAGGGGGGAGAGAAGGCGCTGCGTTTCGGTTTTAGCCATGTCCAGGCCATGACTCATTGAAAAACAATCATAATTTTATGGCTTGGCTTAAAGTGCTTCTGCACATTTACATTTCGGACGTTATATAAGGGGCCCATTACCCAATCACATAATTAATATGCCAGTGAATCGCCGAAGCTGGCGATTGCTATACAGATTCTCAAGATGCGAGAGATAGGCAAAAAGTGTTGAAACTGATTTGGCCAAAAGCAGATGTGACGAAAGCTTAAAAGAAGATTCGAAAAGAATTCTGCTCATATCGTAACTGAAAGAGGATTAGATAAATATAACGATGATGGATTCTAAAAATTATATATAAATAGTTATCACAATCAAGAGTTAAATACAGCTCATACGTTTTATGTATAAAAAAGTCTGTTGCTAACAAATTGTTTATAAGTTATTTGAGCTAAATCTTAATTTAATAGTCTGTAATTACTTTAGCTATTACTACTACATTAATGTAGGAGCTCTTCCACTACTCTGATAGTTAAATTAAGCCAACATTAATAGCATTTCTATCCATCAATAGAGTCAAATTTTCTTCACAAATTTAATGAGTTTTAAAACCCCAAAACTCACTTTCCACTCCAGTGCTTTGCCAGCTTGATTTGCTTATGTTAAAGTTAAGTGGAATCAATCAGCGCTAAAAACAACTTAATTAGTGTTGTAAAACATAATTTATGGTTAATGTGACAAGCCACAAATCAAGCTATTAGCCGAAAAGCTATGCAAATTTAAGCTGAAGCCGAAGCCGAAGCCGAAGCTGAAGATGAGCTGGGCACAAAGGTGATTTAACCTAATGCCCTCTGCACAATAAATAAAGGCTGAAAGGGAGAGCGAGACGGAGAGATGCACCTGCTATACGACGTTACATAACACTGCCAAGGCGCTGGACGGACACAGCAATAGATGCGGTAATAAACGACTTAATTCCAGGAAAAGTTTGCTTTCGGGGCGCCCAAAGTTTATGCCAGACATGTTTTTTAAGACATATATAGAGAAGAAGAGGAAGAAGCAACGCACACACGCGCTCGCAATTAATAAACAAAAAGATAAACCAAAAGGGCGGCAGAGCGCGGGGGAGACAAGAGACAGAGACACACATAAAAGATGACAGCAAATATTTGGCTACACACAAAAGCCACAAAGCGCGACGAAAATGAAGTCAAGAAAAGCCTTTGAAAAACTAAATTACAGAAGAGTTGTGGTCTCCATTATGAGATTATATATAGAGAGAGGCATACATTGTATATACATATACTCTATATGCATAGCCCAAAGATAAGCTCATAAATCTGCCTTAACATTTTAAAGCAAACAAATGCGTTCACAATAGAACTCACAATGGCCACGCAAATTGAATTGGAAATGAAAACAAACTTTCGTTTCTTTTTTTTCTTTTACTCAATCTCGAGATGTTTTATCTCTTGTTATATTATCTAATATGTACATTCCAGCGGATATACACCACTATGTTAATACCATATGGAATCTCTAGTTCCTCTTCTGCTTCTGCAAACGTTCTCACGCAAATTACTCACATAATGGACAACCTTTGTGTGCGGGCACTGCAATTGACTATTGACTTGACTCAACTAGCGCAACTTTTGGACGCTCGTGTCTTATATAGTTAAGATTAGATAAGAGCTAAAAAAGAACGAAAAGAAAAGAGAATTCGCCATCGAATTCAATCAATCTGCCCACAGCTCGGTAATATATTTGGTAAATAGTCTATATATAAAGCTCTTACTACTCTCATATTGCTTGAATTTATCACGGTTTGAACTAATGAACAATTGACTCATAGAAAAGTTGCTGAAAGCTAAACAACTAAAAGCAAGAGTGAATGCGAAAAGTACACAAACACCACTGCTATATACCCTATATGAGAAGACTGATAAGCAGGAATAGAAAAACAAACAGACCATTTGGAATAGATGACAGATCTTCATATATTTGATATAGATAGATAGAAAGATTATAATACATATGGAAGTAGAAAAACTAAGACATAAAACAAAATCTTATTATTCCATCACATATAGTTAAACTGTTTATTAAATTATAATCTTCAATCTTCGACACACTTCAATTCCATTCATGACTTCACACTCACAGAAACGTCACACGTCGCGTGACAAAATGTGCATACCCCTCTGTAGCAAATTTATAAATAGCCATGACTAAGCCTTAATAGTATTTCAGTTAAAACTAGACAAAACGACGACGACGACGACGACGAATCGTTGAGGCCGACCACAGATGACGACAATTTATGACAAACGTAGCTTAGACCACATTCCACAGGCTGTTCGAAAAAGATATATATCGATATATATACATACATATATATCTTTGTGTATTGCATAAATTATCATTCTATCTGTGGTAATTCTTCCAAGAAACGTTTGCGACGCATTTGGCCAGCTTTGACCAACTGAATCAAGTTGGCCGCGGGGCAACATGCCATAAATTGTTAGCCAGTTGCAGCAGGCTGCAAGCAAGCAACAGCAACAACAACTGCAACAACAACGGCAACAGGCAATGCAACACCTAATGAATTGTTAACTGCCTGGCAACATGTTGGCCACAGTTGGGCACACACGTGAAGCTTTTGTCGTCTGTTATTGCCAAATGGCCAAATTGCAGGCAATGCGCCAATGACAATAACAATAACCATATTGACTTGTATAAAGCAACAACAGCAACAACTGAAACAAAAACAACCGCAATATACACGACTCCAAATGCCGTCCAATCAAAGGAAACCTTTTGCCAGCCAACTCTAAGGCGAGGGGGGAGGAAGGGGGCTAGTTGCAGGGTATTTTTTAGCGGGTTCAAGCGGCATGTCAACCTCAGCCACAAAGCGACCACAAACAGACAACGACGACGACGACGACGACAACTTGTGGCCCACCTAGATAACCAGAGCAGCAAGCCAGCAACAGCGGCAGACGCAGCAGGGGCCGGGGCAGCCAACAAAGACAATGAATTGTTAATTTTTTTGCTGTTGCTATTTGTGGTCGCTCGAGCTAGTTTTTGGTCAGCAATTGCAATGAGGCTGAAGAGGAGAAGAAAGGGTATAGAGCAGCAGCAGCAGCAGCAGCAGTGGGAAGCAGAAGGTGACAGCAGGAGGATGCTCTTAAATAGTAGGGTATAGAATCGACTAATGAAATGACAAATACACTATATCAGTATAAAGAGCACCAGAATGAAGAAAAGCGAAGGAAATCTGTAAAGTAAACTCTGAAGAACAGCGAACGATGAGCAAGAAAAGAAGAGGAGACTAGAAGGAACATGACAATATGTGGAACAGTCGGCTATAAATTTATGAAGATAGAACAGCAAATGCTATAAGGCGTAGCTTAAGAGAGAAGAGAATGGGAATGAAACAGAGAAGTTGAGAGTGGAGTGGAATTGATGATAATAATCAGCGTTTAGTCAACAATTTCTTTTGCTTATACTCTATTCTCTTTACTCTATGAATATCATTTTATATATCTATAATTCCTCTCTAAAGCATATCTGACGACATCTCTCATATTTTTTATATACACTTGTCCACCCTCCAGTCACCTCAATTCCAACTCAAACTACCCCATGTACCAGCTCACTCAGACTCCAGGGTATATCAGTAAAAAGAAGAAAAACATGTGCCAAATGTCAACTGAAAATGAAAACATTGCGAATTCTTAAGCCCACAGACATTCGTGGCCTGCCTTGCCGCCCGCCCTGCCACACATGCAACAACATGCTAAAAGGCAGCCACCGAGCCAAAGGGGAGACTTACAGACTGTAAAAATATTTGCAGCCAAAAAGGTGGGAGGTGGGAAGGTGGCTAGGCGACGTTATATGGCGATATGGAGCATGGACACGAGCAGAGCGAAGCAAGCAAAGCCACAGCAGATGGGGGCAGCAGGGAGAGTTGGCGGGCATCAAAAACAGCAGAAACAAAAGGCGCACATTTTGCTTTTTCTCGACTTTTTATTGGTTAGGCTGATAGCTGTTAGCTGTTGGTGCAGAGCAATTAGAGAATTGGCCCCATGGCAGACCCACATGTAGCAGCGGAAAAACGAAAGTTATCGAGCAGCGTGGACAAATGTTGAACACATGCAAACAGACGCCCCAAAACGAGCACCTGACTACTGCAGTCAACAATCCCCTCCTCCTCCCTCCCCTACCCACTCTTTTTGCTAACTGCTTGCTAATCGCCAAGTTTTTTTTTTTTTTGGCTTTTGTTCAACTCGGCTGTCCAGCCAAAGCAAATTTGTCTTTACAATTTATAAACACATTTTTGGGGTTCCACATTTTCCACTCATGATAAATGTGTCGTGTTTTCGTGGCTCGAACAAGTTGCCATTTATTCTCGAGTCTATTTAAAAATGGGCTAAGAAAAACCAGCTAGTGAGCAGCTCCCCCCAATTGGGGGCAGCAGTTTGGCTACAGATTGGCCACGCCCCGCCTCGCTGTCTGTCCGAAAGGGAAGTCGTTTGTTATGAACCGACGACAGGTGGCGCGGCTGTAAACAACTCCCGAAACTAAGTCCAAAACAAGCTACCAAATTAGCGCTCTCTGCGCAGGCGGGCATAAATTATGGAACAGAAACCGAGCGACAGAGCTGATTAGCCTACTGCTGGAATGTCTCCATCTCTGCTTCGAATGGGGGCCAGCTGGAAAATGGGATTGGGTAAGCCAGAGAGGGAGTTGAGCAACAATTGACTTGACGTCGACTTGGCAGTTTCTAAAGAAATGACAAATGTGTGGAACAGCATTGTTATCTGCATAGAAGAAGAAGAGTTGGAGGGAAATAAATAGATAGAAAGAGAGGTAGAAGTGAATGTAGAAATACGAAGTAAAAGAGAGAGAATCTAGAGAGGGATATGGAGAGCAGAACAGATAGATTAAGTTGAACAGAACAACAATGAATTAGCAATAGAAATAGATTCGAGACGAGTTGAATGAAGCAAGGAGAGGGTGGAGTTAGACCCATTAGAACAGCGAAGAAGAAAGGGATAGAAAGAAAGAGAGGAGGCTAACACATCAAAGCACATTGGATCCCAGAGGATCTTCCGATAGGAAGAAAGCGTATATAAGAGACAGAAACTGGTAAAGGAAAAGAATGATAGATAGAGAGATGAATTCGAGTTACATGAATTGAATCTCATCTGAACTCCAGCTCTTTCTGCTCCCCAATACACACACTCTTGCTCAACTCCATTAACCCCATTGGCGTTGCCTTGACCCGAATACCCAGTTAACCGCTTTTTCGGTTAACCTATTTCAATGTCAAGTGCATTGTGCATCAATGCAAACACCATTATCGTGTTGGCCATTAGCTGGCTGGCTGGCTAACTGAGCCCCATTGTTGCCACGGACAAGCTGTATTAAAAACAAATTACAGAGTTAACCAAACTCACATTAACTCCAAAAGTGTGAAAAGTGACCAAAATGTGGTTGTTGCTGCAGTTGTTTTCGTAGTTGTTGTTGTTGTTGTTGGCTCCACTCCAAAACAAATGTTGTCGGTTGCCTTTCAATTCAATTTCTGCAATGAGAAAAGCGTGAAATGCGTGTTAAAACGATAGAAAATGGAAAACAAATATGCACAGATTATGTGGAAATGTGCGCAAAGGATGAAAATCGAATGGAGCGGAAGCAAGCTGAGGCCAAATGACAACAAATGAAAATTGTTCACGTGATTTTATTAGCACTTGGCCTGAGCCATGCCAATTGCATAATGCTCAGCAGCCAGCCGGGCAAAAGGCAAAAACTAAGCCATAAAATGGGAAAAACTTTTACCCATTGGCTGCGTCAACATTTGTTTAGCAACATTTTTATGGCAACCTTTCGCTCGAATGATAAATCAACCTCAATCTCCCGATTCCAACTCCCACAACAACAACAATAACGAAAATAAACATAATTCCTCAAAAGAAAACGTCGCACGACATTTGCCTGCCGCTAAATAATTTCCATTGCTTTAGTTTAAAGTTTTCCTTGGCTTTTCCTCTCGTTGTGGGCGTTTTTTTTTTTTTTTTTTTTTTTGGGTGGGAGCAGGGGGGAGGGGAATGCAAAGCTCAGCTTAGCTTCGTTGGCCATAACAATTCATTATCATTAATTATATTTGCACTCCAGCATGAAAAATGCCCAGCGAGTCGATTAAATTGAAAACAATTTGCCCGCAAATTTCAATATTTCTTTCGTCGTTAGCCGTTAGGCCGAAAAAATAGAAAAAACACAGAAAACAAAGCCCAAATCGACCCCAAAAACATGGCAAAAAAAAAATATGGCCCATAAAGCATCAGCGGGCCAGAAATCAGCAACAACTCGCCAATAACAATTTATTGGCCATATTAACCCCAGCGAACTCTCTCACTTGTCGGCGATCGCAGGGGGCGTGCAGCAGGCGGTGCTTGGGGGGCGTGCAACAGCAACGGGGCCAACGCGATCGATGCGAGTTGTGAAAATATCATTTACGGCCAATTTGTAAGACCAAAAAAATCCTATGATGAAAGACAAAACTGCACCACGAATCCTAAATACCCTGATTTATAAGAAAGTTGCATCATGAAAGAAATATACTATTTATTGATATTTTAGATGGCACATGAGAGAGTTTTGTATCATTTGGAAGAGTCGACTATATATATGTCAATCTATCAAAGAATTTATCATGGCATAGTATAATAGAGAATCATGGTATTTCTATCGTGTTTTAGTTGTAAGGATTCTCCGTAGGTAATGGAAGGGGATTTTTTAACCTATATATGAATAAGGCTATAGTACAACACACTTTAGAATACAGTATGGAATACCCTTGGTATAGTATAGTAGACTACTGAAGAGTTGGGGCTAAGCTGCATTAGTATATGAAATGGCAATCCACCAAACATCAAATTATATGTAGAGAGAGATGTGCATTATCTTAGCCCATAAAAAGCAAGCATTTCACGTGAGCCAATCGTAATAAAAACTTAAGTAACATTTCAGCTAAATAATAAAAATGCAAATATCATACTAAAAACTCTATTTAGATCAAAATTGATTCGATCTGCTGCAACTCAAAGCCAAGAAATAGTTGTAATGCCCATTGTTCAAATGGCCAATAAAAAACTGAAATCCCAGCGAAATTTTGCGCGAACAACGCGCTGGCAAAACAAATCAACGTCGATTTACTTTGGCAACACCAACTATTGCCCTGTCTCTGTCTAGCTCCTCTCTCTCTCTCTCTCTCTCCCTCGCGCTCTCTGGCTCTGTCTATCTAGCCTTAGCACTCTCGCTTTAGTTAGCCGCGCGCGCCGTGGTCAAGTTGAAGTCGGAAATGGGCACAATCGCCATCGCCGTCGATCGTCAGCGGTCAAACAGCAATTGGCCAAAGTTGGCTGCCAACTCGTAATGGCCAATTCGACGACGTCAACATCTTCGGGCGATAATTGGCTCCCTTTCCCAGCCAAGTTAACATTATGATTGGGGGAGGCTGAAGACAGCAAAACTCTTCGAGAGAATCTCAACAATCTCAACAACTATTCTCAGCTTACGTACATCAATTTATATATTCATTCAGCAGGTCTCAGCGCTTACAGATTTGGCATGAAATATTTGATGTATGCGGGTAATATATGCATGTATACTGTTTGGTAAAAAGAAATCGTGGGCTGTTAACTGCACAGTGCGTGTGTGTGGGAAATTCAGGTGTGTGTGGCATTCAATAGCTCTCAGGGGGCTTTTCAATCATTTCACTACTGAAGGCGTCATAATAGCTCTTGCATCGAAATTGGCCATTAAAAAGAGATTAGCCGGAAGATTGAATATAAATTGGTAATTGAATACAAATTGTAAATCAATTACAAAGCTAACTTGAGCTTAATAAATTATATTTAATTTATTCCTAGTAGATCCACTACACATCCATTAGGGGCTACAAAATGCCGTTTGCCTAAATTCTAAGCACTTTGCACCTAGCCGATCTCAGCCAAGCAGCAATGCCCCTTCACCTACTGCATAATCAGCTCTCAGCTTTCACAGGCACAGCAACATTTGAGGCAAGCGAATGCAATCTCATATCGCTCAGCTAAGGTTTTGCGTAGAAGCAAACAAAATGAAATTCAAGCCGCTCGCTGACTGCAGCAGAACGCGGAACCAAACTCGACAATGACAGAATGTTCGCTGGGAGCCAGTATCAAGTGTGAGCGAAAAGAAATTAAATGTGTGTTTATTTTTTTGGCTGCCTGAGCACAAACAAACAAAGCCGAGCAACAACAGCTCGACTGACATATAAAACTTGGACATCATCAAAAAGCTGACAGACTGACAAATAAAACCTGCATATCAAGAAGCTGACAGAAGACTCTCACGCCAAGTGTGAAGTGGATGTCAGGTGAGGGAAATGAATATGTTATTTCATGGTCAGTTAAAAAGTATGCAAAAAGCCAAAAGGCAATCTGGTAAAAGGAAACGCCAAAAGTGCGCTAATGAAAGTGAAAAGCGTCAAGAAGAAAAGTCAAAGCGTTGTCGATTTCGGCCCACTTGTCGTCGCTAGCAGCAGCAGCAGCGCCAGAAAAAAATGCATTCGAAATGCAGTAGAAAGTGAAATGCGTTGGCAACACAAATGAAATAAAATAAAAACAACTTACAACAACAACAGCAACAACAATATAAAAACCAATGCAAGAGCCAAAACAGCAAATGAGCCAAAAGATGCTGGAGAGATACCAACTGCAACAGAGCTGAGGCAGAGACAGAGGCAGGGCAGGCTACTGGGTGGGGGGAGAGACATTGTTAGTTGGGCAACTCTCTCACATGACCTTGTTACATTGCATTGAATCGCGCATGCGATATGCGAATTCTGTGACTGCTTTTGCCTTCAGCGCAGCCGAGGAGCACATAATCAAGAAATATTTGAGATTCACTTTCAGGAAAGAGCGCAGCAACGTACGGGAGACAATCGCAGAAGACGCAACGCAACTAACAGGCCAAACGAAAGTCCAAGGCATAATAACAATGCACATGAGTGCGCATCGGTGAGTGCACGACTAGCATATACCCTGCAAGCCATATGTGAAGGTGGTTGCTCATATCGATATCAAAGAGGTTTCTCTAATGGATGCAGAGTTCTGCAAGACTACAGTAAACATATCTACACTAACTAGTTTCTCAAACTTCACACTGTATATTCTAAATATATTCCAGTTGCATACCCTCTAAATCACTTTCAATGCCTACAGGGTATAAGAGCTATAGACAACTCATAGATAAAATATCTGTGGACTTCTCATTGACGAGTCTTGAAGTTGCAGTTGCAACCGAAGTGAGTGTATGTGTACGTGTGTGCATCTGTATGTGTGTGTGTGTGTGTCGTCGGCAGATGTGTGGGCTGCAGAAGCAAATGAAATGCCACAGATTCGTTTGATAAAATGGCAGGCGACAAGTTGAGAAAGAAAAAGTGACTCAGCGAGTGCCGGAGTAAAAGAGAGCGACGAGCGAGCGAGTGAGACAGGTAGCCAAACAGTAGTCAGCCCCTCCTTACGCCTCCCTCAACCCTAGAGAGACCTTTCTGGTTTTGGAGTTTGACGTCTGCCTCTCTTCGTATAGCTGTCAATGGAGCCATAGATAAATCTTCGAGTTGTCATTGCGGCGGTGGAATGTTTTTTCTTTCTTCATTTGATGAAAACAATAGTAAATGGGTAGCGGAAGATCTCAAGAGAAAAGCAAGAGTTAGATATTAAGAGACAGACAAAGAGAGAGCAAGAAAGAGAGAGAGAGAGAGAGAGAGAGAGAGAGCGCGTCATATTAGGCGCATAATTGGGCCATGGCAAACGCATTGAAATGTCTGTAATTGATATGTTTACAGCTTTATTAACGATGCCACAGTAGGCAGCGCCAACTGTTGGGTTTTCGCTACTTTTGCTTGATTCAATTAAACTCACTCCATGCTGTGCGTGTGTGTGTGTGTGTGTGTGCTGGTGCGTATGTATGTGTCAAGTTATAAAGACATGCAACAATTAGATGACTGATTTGTTTGGCATCAAAAACACTTTCGATTTCTTTGTGGCCATAAAGTAAGCCGCATATGGCAGAGCAGATAAACAAGTCCAATTGCTAGCTTATCTAAAATTGCATCAAATGGGAGTTTACTCATCAAACTTGAACTGCAAATTAAATTAAACAATAAGTTTTAGATTTAAGTTTGACATCTTTAAGCTTTCCAAAATTGTTAGAGAGACCAGAGCTCATCGTATCATATAATGCTGCAAGACTTATAAGTACCTAACTCGGAGTTACCCAAAGTATTCCAAGTATATTTAATACAGTATTGCATCTTCGATATTTTTGTAACTCTTCTTAAATAAATGTATTTATTTTTTTTATATTTTTTATTTTAACATCTAAAAAGTCTCCACTAAAAATGAAATCCAGTTTGTTTCCTTGAAAATTAAACGCATAACATTTTTTTGTAGGTCGACTGATTACGTAAAAGTCCTCGTCAAGGCGTGTGAGCCATAAACTGGACACGTAAACAACAATTTTGTTGAGTAGCTGATTGAC